ATGTAGAATTTGTCTTTTTGTGCCTGGCTTATTTAACTTAGCATAATGTCCTCAAGTTTCATCCATGTTGTAGCAGGTATCAGAATTTCTTTCCTTTCAAAAGCAGATTAAACTCTGGTGCAGTGCATATATCATGTTTTATTTATCTGTCTGTAAGTGAACATTGCATGGCTTCCACCGCTTTGCTATTGTGAATAATGCTGCCATGAACACAGATGTGCAAGTATCTCTTTAACTACTATCAGATATATACCCAAAAGCACAATGACCGGATCATATGGTAATTCTGTTTTTAATCTCTTGAGGACCTGCCGTACTGTTCTCCATAGCTGCTGCGTCACTTCACATTCCGCCCAACATTGCGAAAGAGTTCCAACATCTCCACCTCCTTACCAACACTTGTTATTTCTGGTTTTTTGATGGTAGCCATGCTGATAGCTGGGAGGTGGTATCTAATGGTTTTCGTTGACATCTTCCTAATAATAAGTAATATTGAACACCTTTTCATATGCTTCTAAGCCATTTTTTTCCTTTTAGAAAAATCTCTATTCACGTCTTATATCCATTTTTCAGTCAGGTTATTCATTTTTTTTTCATTCATGTGGACATCTTGATATATTCTAGAGAGTAACTCCTTATCAGGAAGGTGATCTGCAGATACTGCTCCTCATTCTTCTGTTGCCACTCCTCTGATTGTATCCTTTGACAGTCTGGTTGTTGTCAACAGCTCCGCCCCAGGTTGGGGCCTCAGTGGGGAGGAAGCCACAGATCTGATCACATCCTCTTTTTCTTTCCTCTTCCCCACTTCTCCAGCCTTGGGTCTCGAGTTCTTCCCTACCAAGCAGCAGCCTCCCTGTCACAGCCTGTGCTCTCCCTCCTCCTGCGCTCCCAAGGCAAGTTTGATGTCCAGACCTTAAATCTTCTCTCTCTCCACAAATCTTGCCTCCCAAGAGCCTGCTTTAGCAAGAGCCCTAAATGTAAGGGTGCAGTCAACAGCTTGTTTCTATCCTTTCTCTGAGATGTGAAACCAAACCCAGTGCTGCTGTAGGTACAAAGTCCCAGCACGTCATGATGGAAAAGGAAAAACACATCACTCTACTACCTCACACGCTTATCTGCACTCTCAGTCTTAAAGGGCAGCTGCTAAGAATATGGATCCTGTTTCATCCACACGTGTGCTCACATGGATCACCTTGTGTTTTGGGGGCATATCCTAACTTCAGTCTCTAGAGCAATACCACCTCCTCAGATGACATTTGAATCCAATATTATGCAATCAATTTCTAGCGCTTACACTACCTCCGTGGCTTTTTTTTTTTTTTTTTGACAGATAGAGATAGTGAGACAGAGACAGAGAGAAAGGTCTTCCTTCCGTTGGTTCATCCCTCTAATGGCCACCACAGCCAGCACTGCACCAATCCGAAGCCAGGAGCTAGGTACTTCCTCCAGGTATCCCATGCAGGTGCAGGGACCCAAGCACTTGGGCCACTCTCCACTGCCCTCCCGTGCCACAGCAGAGAGCTGGACTAGAAGAGGAGCAACTGGGACAGAATCCGGTGCCCCAACCGGGACTAGAACCCCGGGGTGCCAGCGCCGCAGGAGGAGGATTAGCCTAGTGAGCCACGGCGCCTGCCCCTCCTTGGCCTTTTTTTCCAAATAAGCATTGAGTAGTGTCCATTTCTTAGAGCCACACTGAGAAGTTCAATGTGACTATTTTATGTTTCTTCTTTAAAAAAAATAAGTCCTAATTTTATTGGAAATTAAATGATTTTTTTCCCTGTTACACTTAAAAAGGCAAGTTTTCTTGCTTACCACTACAATCTTTCTTTCTTTCTTTCTTTTTTTTTTTTTTCTACCACTACAATCTTTCAATAAGATTAATGAAACCAGCCTGCTCTTTGTTCTAGAATTCTGGCTCTTGAGATCAGAAAAACCAGAGTCTCAAGCAGAAAATTAGGAAACATGGTTACAGAGCTTTGCTATTCTAAAAATCATGGCTTGAAGACATTATGCCACCGCTGGGTAGTAGAGTTTCACTATCTGTCAAATCATGTCCTGGTCCTGGGTGAGAATGAGAGAGAAACAGGAGAGTATCCTCAACCGCAAGACACAACCACTGGTATGGGGAGAGAGGTGAGAGATGAGAGTCCTTTAAAATCACAGTTTGACATCAGCTTAACGCCCTGGAACACAGGAAGGAGGGCCCTGTGCTGCAGTTAGCTGCCTCTTGGACACCTGCATCCTTCGCAGAGCGACTCTCTTCTGACCCACCATCCTGGGGATGGTACCCTGGAGGCAGCAGAGGATGGCTCAACTAAATGAGCCCCTGCCACCCATGTAGGAGATCCCAGATAGAGTTCCTGGCCCCGGCTTCCATCTGGCCCAGCCCTGCTGCTGTGGACATCTGTGGCATAAACCAGTGGATGGAAGATCTCTCTCTCTTCTCCTCTCTCTCTCTCTGCCTTTCAAACAAATAGAAATAATAATAATAAAAAGACTTGAAACAAGATTCTGACAACACCATCAGATGGAAGTTTGCTGGGTCCTGAACTGTGAGAAATAACCTAATATCAACGCTCTGATATTTTGAGTTATATTTTTAAAAATAGAACAGGCAGCTTGTGAGAACTAAGTTTCTTATCACAGGAAGTACTCACAGCGGATATCGAAGCTTATTACTGAACCATGAGAATGGAGTCCTTGTGCATTTATATTTTATAAGACTCACAGTCCTGGGGAATCTGAATCTGAACAAAACAAAAAGACAAAAGAAATCTTTTGGAATTCAGGAAGAGAAGCCACGTCATTTAAAAAAAGAATTCTGCTCTTAAGAATGGGAATATGTTCAACAATCAGGAAGTTCTTTAGCTGTTTCTCTTATATAATTTTCCACTTCTCATATTTTTACAACCTCAGCAACATAAATATCAAAGCACCTCAGCCTCCACAAGGAGGAACAGCAAGACGCTGCTTTGTTTTTAGCCAGTAAAAGGCAGGCGGATTTCTCCCCCACATCTGCTGAACATTCACAGTCATTTCTATTTTAGCAACTTCTAATGATCCAAAGTGGAACAGGGGACAATTGGCATCTTTCTTTTGAACGAATGCTAAATTTCCCAAATGCTATTGGCTTGGGAATTTCAGGTGCCCTGGGAACCACCAACCCTCTTGCATGTCCCTCCCCAAGTTCCAGGCCAGCCACATCCCCTGCATATTCCCAGAGTAGCATCATTTGCACATGGCTTTTATCATCTTTGGGGCACATAATCGTGTCAAAAAAAAAAAAATAAATAAAATCAAGTTAGGAAAATCTTTTTTTTTTTTTTTTGACAGGCAGAGTGGACAGTGAGAGAGAGAGAGAGAGAGAGAGAGAGAAAGGTCTTCCTTTGCCGTTGGTTCACCCTCCAATGGCCGCCGCGGCCAGTGCGCTGCGGCCGGCGCACCGCGCTGATCCGATGGCAGGAGCCAGCAGCCAGGTGCTTTTCCTGGTCTCCCATGGGGTGCAGGGCCCAAGCACCTGGGCCATCCTCCACTGCACTCCCTGGCCACAGCAGAGAGCCGGCCTGGAAGAGGGGCAACCGGGACAGAATCCGGCGCCCCGACTGGGACTAGAACCCGGTGTGCCGGCGCCGCTAGGCGGAGGATTAGCCTAGTGAGCCACGGCGCCGGCCCAAGTTAGGAAAATCTTAAAATTTGATTGCTGGGGTCAGACATTTGGCCTAGCAGTCGGGGCACCTGCACCCCATATTTAAGTGCCTGGGGTCTAGGCCGAACTGTTCCTGATGACAAATTACTGCTAATGCACACCCTAGGAAGCAGCAGGTGATGGGTCAACTAGTTAGGTCCCTGACACCCATGTGGGAGACCTAGACTGAGTTCCAAATTCTCAGCTTCAACCCCAGCCAGGGGCTGTTGCACACATTTGGGGAATGAGCCAGCAGATAGGGAGCTGTCTCTCTGTCTCTCTCTGTCTCTCTCTCTTGCCCCTCTCTGACTTCCCAAATAAATATATGAATATAAAAAATTCCAATAAATAAAAGTATATTGTCATACCGTAGAACGTGTGCAGATCATGATCCAGGAGACTTTAAGCTGAAAGTGGTATGAAGCTCCCTTCATCCCCAACAAACACTGTACAGCTTAAAAACTAGAGAAAATGGCCGGTATTTTGAACTTTTTTGTGATTAACAGTTATACGTTAACTTTATTTTTTAAAAGATTCATTTATTTTACATGAGAGGCAGTAATAGACAGAGAGAGGGAGAGGCAGAGAGAAAGGTCTTCTATCCTCTGGCTCACTTCCCAGATGGCTGCAATGGCCAGAGCTGGCCCAATCTGAAGCCAGAAGCCTGGAGCCTCTTCCGGGTCTCCCACATGGGTACAGGGGCCCAATCACTTGGGCCACCTTCTACTGCTTTCCTAGGTCGCAGCAGAGATTTGGACGGGAAGAGGAGCAGCCAGGACACAAACTGGCATCCATATGGGATGCTGGCCCCAGGGCAGAGGCCTAACCTACTAGGTCACAGTACCAGCCCCACATTAACATTATTTTTCAGGCAAGCTGTTTAAGCTGATTTGTCTGTAGCTAATTGATTTAATTTCATTAAGCTAAGGTTGCAGAATAATCAGGATGACGAGTTTTGGTTACATGGTCTCCAAGTACAGTTATCCCTTGAGATCCACAGGGGAGTGCGTTCCAGGACCCCACTCCCTCCCCCTCTCCCCCTCCCCTCCTCCTCCCCTCCCTCTCCCCCTCCCCTCCCTCTCCGAAACCCCTTCCATCTCCCCTCCCCTTCTCCCTCCCTCTCTACCTCCCACTCTCCCTCCCTCTACCACTCCTTTCAAGCCCCCTTCCTCCTCCTCCAGCCTCTCACTTCACTTCTCCCCTTGCCTCAGCTCCTCCCTGTGGATACCAAAATCCGCGGCTACTCAGGTAACTTATATAAAAATAATGTAGTATTTCAATATCTTCCTGTATATTTTAAATCATATCTAGATTACATTTTTGTGATACTATATATTACATAGAGAATAATGACAAAACTATACATGTTCAGTGTAGATGCAATTTTTTTTCCAAGTATTTTCAATCTGCAGCTTGTTGAATTTGTGGATGCAGAAACCACAGATATGACTGTGGTCTCCATTTTTATTTTTCTCTACCAATCCCTTCCTTTTGGTCATTCTCTCACGCTGAACCGAAGATGCCCAACCACTTAGCATGACCCTCAGTTTCCATACGTTGTTTTCAGTCTGTGGTTTACTCAGTAGGTCCTTTGATTCTTGTTCTTCACGTTTTTGTCATTCAGTCTTCATGGAGACCATCTGTTGAGTTATGGACTCCTCACAAACATGTGAAACTCTTGAAAGTTAAGCTGGGCATTTGGGGTTAAGATGCTGCTCAGAATGCCTGCATTTGAGTCCCAACTGTACTTATGATCTAGCTTCCTGCCAGTGTTCACCTGGAAGGCAGAAGACAAGAGCTCAAGTACTTGAGACCACAAGGGATGGAGTTCCAGGCCCCTAGCCTTGGCTTGTCCAGCCACAACTGCTGCAAGTATTTGGGGAGTAAACCATCAAATGGAAGATTCTTCTCTCTGTCTCGGTGTGTTTTTCTGTCTCTGAAACAAATACATTCATAAAAAGCTTTAAAAACTCTTGAAAGAATACAATGCATGAGGGATGCTATGGATATGACTAAAAGGTGGATAGTAGCAGACATCTGACCAATGAAATATCTAATGTACATTAAGAAGGAATGAGGGGCCAGTGTTACAGCACCACTTGTGATGCATACCATATGTGCCTGGGAAGGCAGTGGATAATGACCCAAGTGCTTGGGCCCCTAGGACCCATGTGGGAGACCTGAATGGAGGTCTGATTCCTTTCTGCAGCCTGGCCTAGATCTGGTTGTTACAGTCATTTGGGGAGTAAAGCAGCAGATAGAAGATCAGTCTCTTCCCCATCACTGTTATTGCCTTTCAAACAAATAAATAAATTAAAAAAGAGTGAGGTTTGTCTAGAGTCAGTGTAGGAGGAGTGATTAACAACCCCATGGTTAGGATGTCTGCACATAAATAACAATGAAAGTGGGACAGAGTGTGGGAGTGTAATGTGCCCCCTTTGATTGATAATCACGCCTGTTAACTCTTACCAGGTATCCTTCTGTCTTCTTTGAGATGTTCTGCTGTTTTCATTGTAATTGACAAGCACACAGGAATCACATCTGTTTCAACCTGATTCAACACATGTATTCATCCTGTAAGAAAAATACAAAACTTGCATCTAAACTCAGGTTTATGGAAACAGCAACTCAGACAACTGACATTTCTGGGATTAAATCCTCAAATGCAGTAGCTACATAAATTTCAACTTTGATTTTCCATCCCAATTCTGGCTATTTGGGTCAACAGCCCTGCTGGCCATGAAGAGACCTGGAGCAGATCACCCAAGACCAACTGGAGCACCATGCAGAACCTGGCGCCTTGGTACCAGGAAAGGTTCGCCGTCAGCACAACAGCTCCCCAGAGCCCCAGTGAGCAGGGTGCGAGTCTCCCGGGGTCTTGGGTCTCCCACTTGCTGGTTTAAAGACTGTGTGTTTATTGAGCTAGTTGTCTGCATTCTGGGTAGGGTAAGTGTTCCTTCAAGAACAGGTAACAGGGAAGGGAACTCCTAATTCTAATATGAGGACACTGAAGCAGACAGCTGGCTAGGGAAACAAAGCGTTTTATTCCCTGTGATCAGAACAAAGGCTCAACGAAATCTGGTTCAATGAGACAAAAACATGAAATTTAAATGAGCACCAATGTTCACCGACTCTGACACTTAAAGATGTCTTTGCTCCCTCCCACCATGTTACGGGGACTTCCAGGTAACCAGAGACTGAGACTGACTTTGGAAACATGCAACAGTCCTTAAAGGACCAGAGTCCTACAGAGAAGTAGTGAATTGGCTAACCTGGGGAAGTGCAAACAAGACTAATCACCACACCCCCTCCTCCTAAATCTGCAGGCTTGGAAAAGATCCAGAGCCTACAGTAATAACTCCTTTCAGCGAGAAACCTCTTACAAGGAAAAAGGACAGCCTATGTGCCTTGGACTCAAGCTGAACCAAGTTTTGACAAAAGGCTTTTGAGATTCTCTTCCAGACATTATGGAGTTCACACAAAATTGTGACTGAACTGTTAGGGTTTATTAGCTAAGATATTCAGACTTAGACCAGTCAATTCAAACCCTCCTTTCTAAAAGCAAAGCACATAAATGGATGGAACAAGCCAACTGAAAAAATCGCCTTCTGGATGATAGAGAACGATGCCAGGAGGTAGCCAACCACTTGTAGGAATCAAAAGATGTAATTTAACAAAGGCCAGCTTTGCACACTAACATCCCCGTTACTCTTGTTACTCCTACAACCAACCATCCAAGACATGCTATTCTATCTCTGATAGGTATTTAAGGTCATAAAAACATGAGATTGATCTGAGAATGAGTACCTCAAATAAAGGTTAAATGGTAGAAATGTTTATAAATATACTTCTGAAGCAATAATTATATTTTATAACATGCTTATGTTAACAGGATTTCAGGGGCCAGCATTGTGGTGCAATGGGTAAAGCCGCTGCCTGCAATGCCAGCATCCCTATGGGTGCCACTTCAAGTCCCGATTGTTCCACTTCTGATCAAGCTCCTTGCTAATGCACCTGGGAAAGCCCCAGAGGATGGCTGAGGTCCTTGGACCACTGCACCCACTTGGGAGATCCAGAGGAAGCTCCTGGTTCCTGGTTTAGGCCTGGTCCAGTCCTGGCCATGGTGACCATCTGGGGAGTACCGAGCAGAGAGAATAAATAAATCTCTAAAAAAGGGGGGGTGGGTGAGGATTTTAGTTATTCTTGGGTAACTACATTCATACAGTTTTACTAAGTTAAATCAAATGATTGGGGGCTGGTGCTGGGGCGTAGTGAGTAAAGCCACTGCCTGCAGTGCCGGCATCCCATATGCACACCAGTTTGAGACCTGGCTGCTCCACATCTGATCCAGCTCTCTGCTATGGCCTGGAAAAGCAGTAGAACATGGACCATGGCTTGGGCCCCTGCACCCATGTGGGAGACCTGGAAGAAGCTCTTGAATGCTGGCTTGGGATAGATCTAGCTCCAGCCATTGAGGCCATTTGGGGAGTGAACCAGAGGATGGAAGACCTCTCTCTCTCTGTCTCTCCTTCTCTGCAACTCTGCCTTTCAAATAAAACAAATAAATCTTTAAAAAAAATCAAATTATTGGATATTCATTAAGTAACCAGGTGATTTCTAATTAAGATAGAATGCCAAAGAGTAATTATTAAACATAAATTCAAGTGCATTTACTTTGGGCTTCTTATAGCTTATAAAAAACAAAAATATTTGGACCTATTATTAAATGTGTCCTATTCTACACTTAAAACTATTCAGAGGAAATGCATGTTTTTAAAATTATAAAGTATGTATTCTTGAGGAGGCATTTGGCTTAGTGGGAAGTCACTAATTAGGACACCCACATAATATTTGGGAGTTTCTGAGTTCTAGCTTGAGCTCCCCTCCTGATTCTAGCTTCCTGCTAGTGCATACCTTGGGAAGCAAGAGGCGAAGGCTCAAATTCTTTGAGTTCCAGGCTCCCAGCTTCAGCCTGGCCCCAGACACTGAGGACATTTTGGGAGTGAAACAAAAAATTGAGCTCTCTATCTGCCTAGGTATCATCTGTCCTCTCTCTCTCTCTCTCTCTCTCTGCTTCTTAATTAAAAAACAATGTGGGGCTGGTGCTGTGATGCAGAAGGTAAAGCCGTCTCCTGCAGTGTTGACATCCCCTGTTGGTGCCATTTCAAGTCCTGGCTGTTCCACTTCCGATACAGCTCTCTGCTATGGCCTAGGAAAGTCCTTGGGCCCCTGCACCTCTGTGGGAGACCTGGAAGAAGCTCCAGGCTTCTGGCTTTGGATTGGCCCAGCTCCAGCCATTGAGGCCATTTGGGGAGTGAACCAGCACATGGAAGACCTCTCCTTCTCTCTCTGCCTCTGCCTTTCAAAGCAATAAATAAATATTTTTAAAAATGTAAAAAATTAAAATATATATTCATAAAATTGGTATATAACAACAATTCACATTCTTAGGTCTCCACAAGAAAGTAAGGTTACAAAGAACTATTTTGTCTGATTCCAAGTTAATTTAAGGTTGTTTTCAAAATGTGCAGTTCAGGGCTTTATATCTAAAGACTGTGGTAAAAAGAGTGAATAATAAGCCCACTGTTTGCCTCTCCCTATGCAGAGATAACACAGAGTGTGAGAATGAGTAGGAGTGTCATATAAGCCCTTTAATCAATAATCAAGTCGGTTGGACTCTAACCAGGTGTTCTTCAATCTTCAATGTGGTATTCTCTGATTTTCCATGTGATTGATAACCACATATAAATGTGCATTGTTTGAACCTGCACATGTACATACGCAGTAAGAAAAGTAGAAAACCTGGAAGCAAACTCGGGCTTGTGGAGCAGCAGGCTTGGGCAGCTTGGTTCTGGTTTCAGGCCCCAGTGGGACCCACAGAACCAATTCAGCTTGGACTTTCCTGCCAGACTTCAGCTTCATCAACATGTATTTGACAACAGGTCCCATGTAATTTAACACATCAAAAAAATCTGATTGCTCTAACCTATCGATTTTATTATCTCCCTTTGAGAAAGTGGGAAGAACAAATCCTTCGAGGCTTTCTATGGGGCTTTTGGGAAATCTCAAAGTTAGTTCAAGGTCAGGAGATTTCATTTAAGATTTGGTTTGGGGAAGGCAAAACTGTCCAAAATGTCAAAAGGTTTTAAAGTGATTAAGCTGCAATCACAGGCTCCTATCAATCCATACTTAGTTATCCTTGTAATCAGAATGATAATTAAAGATTTCAAAAGCAAATACAAAAGTGACATAGTTACAAAATAAAAAGCTTTAGCTCTTTTATCAGAGAAGGCTTAATCAAAGATAGGAATCACAGGAAAATTATTTTGATAAGACAAAATAAAGTTTGTTTTTAAGCAAATCACTTAAAAGCTAAAGAGAAAATTTTCATACTGTCCTATCAAGAACAGATTAATAATCCAAAAAAAATTCTTTCCCTTTTTAGAGACAGAAGACCAAATTCTAGTTTCGCATCAGTGCACTTTTGATACTAAGGCTCAGTGAAAAATCTTTTTAATAAATTCAATCACGTTTCAGTCCATTGGCAGTGGAGGGGGTGAAGCAGCGGATGGGAGCTCTACAATACCCACAGACGGGGTAAGTGACAAAGGTCATGGCACTGACCTCGGTCAAGGGCCCCCACAAGGCATGAAAACAAGAAGGAACGAGAGCGTAGAGTAGGCCAGGCCAAGGAGCTGGGGCCGCCGTCCTCCTGTCTGTCAGGAGCTCGCTCCCCTGAGAACAGCACTGATCCCGGCAGGCATCAGGGCAGAGCCCTCATGACCCAGGCAGCTCTGAAAAGCCTCACCTCCTCGCTGGACCACAATGGCAACAAAAATTCATCCCATGTTTTGGAGGGGACATTCTAACCCCCGTGCCACATCAGACTCCCCTTCTCTCTCCCTACTGCTTTCTATATCCATTTAGGTTGTCTTATTCTTCCCTTTTTTCATTTTTAAAAAAGATCTATTTTATTTAATTGAAAGGCTGTCACAGAGAGAGGGATAGAGAGAGATTGATTTTCCATTCTCTGGTTCACTCCCCATACGGCCACAATGGTCAGGGCTGGGAGCCCCATAGAGCAGGGAATTTCATCTGGATCTTCTATGTGGGTGGCAGAGATCCAAGTACTTGGGGCATCTTCTGATGTTTTCCCAGAAATCTGGGCATTGGATGGGAAGTGGAGTAGCTGGGACTCAAACTGGCATTCAAGTAAGATGCCAACGTCACAGGCAGCAGCTTAACCTGCTGTGCCACACACTGGACACTCTTTTTTTGACAGGCAGAGTTAGACAGTGAGAAAGAGAAAGAGAGAAAGAGAAAGGTCTTCCTTCCATTGGTTCACGCCACTAATGGCCGTCACCACCGAAGCTGCGCCGATCCAAAGCCAGGAGCCGGGTACTTCCTCCTGGTCTCCCATGCAGGTGCAGGGACCCACACTTGGGCCATCTTCTACTGCCCTCCCAGGCTATAGCAGAGAGTTGGACTGGAAGAGGAGCAACTGGGACTAGGACCCGGGGTGCTGGCGCCGCAGGCGGAGGATTAGCCAAGTAAGCCACGGCGCTGGCCTGGAC